TTGGTGGCCGCATCTCGCTTGTCCTCCTTCTTGTAGTTGGTCTTCCCCCGCGGCCGTGCCGGCTCGCCCTCCCCAACATCCTCTATGGCTTTCTTCCCCCCACGTGCCTTGAATGCGGCATATTGCGCCTTGAACTTCCAGAGGCGGAGTCAGGATTTGAACATAGCGGGCGCGAAGCAAAGTTGGAAAAAAATTCCGCTTCATTGCTATAGAGTATAGACATGTCGTAGCTATATTTGAATTAGTTGTATAATCTCGGTGATTTTTAATAACATAAAGTATGTTAACAATTTCATTAGAAGAGAATTCAGTTCTAAATTCCTTTCGAAGCAAGTTTTCATGCAATGCTCGAGCAAGTCGTCTCTCATTTTACTTTGAAAACATGCCCTCACAATTAAGCTGAAATAATATTTCTGGTGTTTGGCGACCCTTTTCTCTTGATAAATATAAATCTTAAAAATGACATTGCAAGTCACATAATTAAAAGAATTGAAATTTGATGTACAAATTTGATAGGTATAAGGTGGGAACCGATCAAGATGAGCAAGCAGTTGTTAGTTGTGCTAACCTTGGCTAGTTGGCCGGAGAATTAACGAGCTCATGATCACGCCGACGTCGCCTCTGATCTAATCCGGAATTGATCGCCAAAATTTGCTGGAAGAGCGTGAAGTAGCAAGGATGTATGGCAGAGCCAATTTCTTTGATCGTTTGTACAGTTGCTAAATTGTGTAGATCCAATATCCTAATGCAACCACTGTGATTAATAGATAATTCACTATTTTATAGTCAACACTAACACACCATACTAGAACAGTAGGATTTTAATTCATAATAATTGATAGTTACAAGTACGAGCTAGTACCTTCCTCTATCTAATCTCCGTTTCTTCCGGTAAAACTCTGATCTAATAAAGCCTCCTCCTCCTGCCTTAGTCCTTAGACACTGGACAAACAACGGACAAAGACAACAGATCAATGCAGCCAATAGGGTAGGGGCGACGACGTGGTAAGCGCCTTACCTGAGCAGGAGCGTCTGCGGCAGCCGGGCAGCCGGCGGCTGGGCGACAGCTGCAAACAACGCCCTAGACCCTAGTGCAAGGACAGATCAAAGAATCGATCGCATGGGGCAAACAACAAAAGGCCACAAACACATGACAATGACATGGGCTATTGGGCTTCGGTCTAGGATAGTTATTATATTAGTACTTATATGGGCTAATTTTCCTAGAAAAATAATCTTATATGGGCTAATGATGTGAT